TGACAGACGTCACCTCTAATCTGCTGCACCCTCCCTCACCCTCGTGTATGCTCATCAAACGTCAGCTCTTATTAGATGTTATCTTATCTTATTATGTTACTGTCAGGGGTGGACTTTGTTTTTCATGCTTCAAGGGAACTTATTATTACCTATTATTATTATTATTACACATCATTGTCGTCCTCCTCCTCCTCCTTATATACTTCCACATATCCAAAACACTGCTGGGACATATAAATACGTACTTTGTATATATTCCAAGACAATAGTAAATGGCCAAGGCAGGTGTAAATGTCCACCTGTCAGTGTGTTTGTGACAATGTGAGTACAATTTCAGTACCTAATACTAGCGTCAGAACAAAGATTGGTTATGAAATGACAAGAACTACTATAATTTGTAATTATCAGAACATGAAAATTATATAAAATAATATGAAAAATAGAAAAAAAGGTATATCGGCAACACTTCTGCAAGCGGCAGCGCTCCATGTTGCCATCAGGTGATCCCCAAGTGCCAACTTTGCTGCCTCATATCTCAGTAAGTACTGACTCTTAAATTTTTTTTTTTATCCTATAACACTTAGAAAAATGTGCTCTTTTTTCAATAAAAAAAACGGATTTTTTTATTTTTCTAAATATTCGGGGCACTGGAGTAGTGAACGTATATATACGTTTGGACCGTTTACGGGTTAAAGGAGGGGTTTGGGATATTTGCTGTTTGGAGTGACATCTGAACTGTTGTATCTGCGCATCTCTGCAAAGACAGTGATTATTTGTGAATGATGATGGTGTTTCTCTTTTGGGTCACCCTGTTTCAGTGGGAGACAGCCAGTGTGTTAAAAAAAAAAATTGCAGGATCACTTGTTTTGCTTCATTACTGTTGTTCATAAGAACATAAGAAAGGAGGAACACTGCAGTAGGCCTGTTGGCCCATACTAGGCAGGTCCTTCACAGATCCAACCCATTAACAGAATAAACACTACCCATGCAATAAGCTTTGACAGTTCTATTTATTTACGTGCAAGCCCCACTCAAATCCAACCCCTCTCACTCGTGTATTTATCTAACCTAAATTGGAAACTACCCAAGGTTTTAGCTTCAATAACCCTGCTAGGCAGACCGTTCCACTCATCGACTACCATATTTCCAAACCACTACATGCACTTTCCTATATCTTTTCTAAATCTAAACTTATCTAATTTGAATCCATTATTGCAGGTTCAGTTACCATGAGCCTCTCATTGGAGCATAGAATAAATATATTATGTTTTCTAGCATTATATCATTACAACAGTAAAGCCAAGGTGAACATCATTATGTTGAAGGTGTATACGTATATTGATGTAATTTCATGTAATTACTGTTCTTATTCTTTGATATAGACAATTGTTTTCTTACTTACATAGGTTTTTCTCCTTTTTCTAAATAGCTCTTGTTCCTTTTTATTTCTTCTATTGTCCATGGGGAAGTGGAAAAGAATCTTTCCTCCGTAAGCCATGCGTGTCGTATGAGGCGACTAAAATGCCGGGAGCAATGGGCTAGTAACCCCTTCTCCTGTAGACATTTACTAAAAACGAGAAGAAGAAAAACTTATAAAACTGGGATGCTTAAATGTGCGTGGATGTAGTGCGGATGACAAGAAACAGATGATTGCTGATGTTATGAATGAAAAGAGGTTGGATGTCCTGGCCCTAAGCGAAACAAAAACTGAAGGGGGTAGGGGAGTTTTTGGGGGGGAAATAAATGGGATTAAATCTGGAGTATCTGAGAGAGTTAGAGCAAAGGAAGGGGTAGCAGTAATGTTGAATGATCAGTTATGGAAGGAGAAAAGAGAATATGAATGTTTTAAATTCAAGAATTTTTGTGGATTAAAAATAAAAGGGGGATCGAAAAGTGGGTATAATAAGCGGTATGCACCTGGAGAAGAGAGGAATGCAGAGGAGAGAAAAGGTTTTTGGGAGATTTTAATGAAATGTTAGGGCCTTTAACCAGTGAAGAGAAATTGTGGTGGGGGCCCTGAATGCTAAGAGGGAAATTTTAAGGGGTTGGAGGTAAGTTTGGGTCCCCAGGTGTAAATGATAATGGGACCCCTTTGATTGAACTTTTATAAAAGGGGGTTTTAGTTATGGGTAATACATTTTTTTAAGAAAAAGAGGAAAAATAAGTATAAAGTATGATGTAGGGCGAAATGACAGAGTTTTTTGGGATTATGTTTTGGGTAGATAAAAGACTGTTGAGTAGACTTCAGGATGACATGTTTATAGAGGGGACAGATATATCAGATCACTTTCTTTTTTTTGTAGCTACAGAGAGAAAAAAGGTAGATGAATACAAGGAGAATAAAAGCATCGGGGAAGAGAGAGGTGAAGGTTTATAAATAAAAGAGGGGCAGTTAGGGAAGTTTAAAAACACATTGGAGGATAGAGGGGCAATGAGAGCATAGGCAATGGGGTCGAAGAGGTATGGGGGGGTTTTAAAAAATGTAGTGTTAAGTGTTCAGCAGAAGTTTGTGGTTACGGAAAGGGGGGTTTGCGGGGGGGAAAGAGGACGATTGGGGAATGTGATGTAAAAGAGAGTAGAGGGAGAAAAATTTAGCATATGAGAAGTTTTTAAAAAAGTAAAAGTGATGAAAGGGAGGGAAGAAAAATTTGGAGAAAAAGAGAGAGGTTAAGAGAGGTAAAGCAATGTAAAAGGAGCAAATGAAAAGGTGGTGGATGTTTCAACAAATTTTGTTGAAATAAGAAAAATTTTTGGAGTGAATTTAAAAGTTAAGAAAGTTTTTTGAGAAAATGATTTGTCATTAAAAATAGGAGGGAGATTTTAAATGGAGTTAAAGGTAGGAAAAGGAGGGAAATTGAAATTTTTTAAATTTTAAATAAATTATTTTTTTTAAAAAAAAACTTAGGTAGGAAAAGATTGATAAGTTTAAGTAGGTAAAAGAAAGGGGGAAAAGGAGGGATTAGGGAAAAAGAAGAAATTTAAAAAAATTTTTTGAGGTTTTCAATTTTTTAAAAAAGAGAAGGGGAAGGTCCCTAGGGATTGGCAGAGAGCATGCATATTCCTTTGTATAAAGGAAAAAAAAAAAGGGGATAAAAGAGAGTGAAGGGAGGGGGTTAAGTTGCATTTTAAAAACTGTATGTAAAGCCCCTTTCTGGCAAGACAGTGAGGGAGTGAATGTGGTGAAAGTTTTTCTTTTTGGGGCCCCCCTCCTTGGTGGGAATCGGGGGGGTTTGTGAAAATAAAAAAAAAAAAAAAAAAAGTCTGTTGAATCCCTGGAAAAAGTGTAGGGAAAGGTTATTTTTAAAAGAAAAAGGTAAGAGGGGAGAATGGATAGCAGATGAACAAGGAGGCTTTAGGAAAGGTGGGGGGTGGGGGACCGGGTTTTTACAGTGAAACATGTAAGTGAACGTATTTAAAAATAAACAAAGGGGTTTTTTGGGGCATTTTGGATTTGGAAAAGGGTATGACAGGGTGGTTTGGGGGGAAAATGTGGCAGAGTTGCGGGTGATGGTGTAGGAGGTGGTTACTAAAAGCAGTGAAGAGTTTTTACGAGGAAGTGAGGCTCAAGTTAGAGTTGTGGGAAAAGAGGGAAATTATTTCCAGTAAAAAAGGCCTTAACAAGGAGTGTGATTCACCGTGGTTGTTTAATTTTTTTTAAGATGGGGTTGAAAGGGAAGTAAATGCGAGGGTTTTGGAAAGAGGCGGGATTTAAAAAGATAAAGAATCACCAAAAGTGGGAGTTGTCACATTGCCTTTGCTGATGCACTGTGCTCCGGGGGAGATTCTGAAGGATTTTTGCAGAAATTGGTGCAAAATTTTGGTAGGGTGTGAAAAAGAAAAATTGAAAGTGAATACAGGAAAGAGAAAGGGTTATGAGGAAACAAAAAATTGGGTGATAAAAATTTGGATTCGATTGGAGGGAGAGAGTATGGAGGGGGTGAAGTATTCGATATTTGGGGAGTGGACTGTCAGGGGATGGGTTATAAAAGATAAAAGTGAATCATAAATTGATGAGGGGAAAAGGGTGAGTGGTGCACTTAGGAGTCTGTGGAGAAAAAGAATTTTGCCCTTTGGAGGCAAAGAGGGGGTGTATGAAGTATAGTTTTACCAAAGCTCTATTGGGTGTGAAGCATGGTGATGAATTTTCAGCGAGGGAACTGGAGGCAGGGAAATGTTCATGTCTGAGAGCAATGTGTGGGGTGAATTAAGCAGAGAATTGAGTTTGGAAGTTAGGAGGAGGGGCGGGATTTCCAAAACTGTTGTCCAGAGGGGAGGAAGGGGTTTTTGAGGTGGTTCGGACATGTGGGGAGAATGGACGAAAAAAGAAAACTTAAAAGTGTATCGTTGAGTGGAAGGAAGGGGGGGGTAGGGTCGGCCTAGGAAAGGTTGGAGGGGGGGGTTTTAAAGGGAAAGGTTTTTGGTGTGCGAGGGGTTTGGACTTCCAGCAGGCTTTGAAATGAGCTTTTTTTGATAGGAGTAAATGGGAACAAAGGGTTTTTTTAAATACTTAAACGTCCCTGTTGGAGTGTGACAAAGAAAAATTTATAAAGGGGTTCAGAAAAAACCGGCGGGCCGGTTTTGGACCCTGGGGGGGGGGAAGTACAGTCCCTTTTGCACTCAAAGGGGGGGGTTTTAAAATTTTCCCGTTTAAAAACTGTAGTAAAAAAGCACCTTCTGGAAAGCATGATGGGTGAATGATGGGGGAATTTTTTCTTTTTTGGGCCCCGGGGGCCTTGGGGGGGAATCCGGCCATGTGAAAATAAAAAAAAAAAAAATAAATAAATAAAATTAATTTATCTTTAAAAAACTTTGCTATTTTTATTGATCTGAAATACACTCTTAAGAAAAACGGGTCTGCTTGCTCTGCAAATGCAGCCCCCCTTCCCCCGCCCCCTTTTCAAACCAGATAGCTACCCTAAGTCCCGAGTAAAAAAATTTCTGGAGGCCCATGGAAACAATGAGCGAGGTGTTAGAAGCAAATTTATATTTATCTTTTTCAGGGTATCCGATCGTGGGGTTTTCCTGTTGGAGGGAAAAACAAAAATTTTTGTCAGGGAAAATTTGGGACAGTGAGAGCAAACAGGGGTGTCATTTAACTAGAAGGCGTTTCCCAAACTGAATTAGCTTGGCTTTTTCTATTCAAAAAATCTCGGGATGAGTTTGTAAGGCCCACCATTTTGTTAGTCTTTAAATTTAAGGCTTTTTACACCTCTCCTAACTTAGAAAAGTACCGTTTGCCAATGACTGGGACTTACGAGGGGGTCTTTCCCTAGCATACCTAAATAATGTTATTAAGTGATTTCCTTTATTCTTTTATTAAATACACAGTACACTATTGTAAAACTTTTAAAAATAACTAAAAATTTTATAAATGGTGCAAGGGTGACATTAAAGCAATAAAAAGAGGGTTGACATAAACCCACTCCCCCCACATATAAAGCTTCTCTTTGTGATGAATTTTTTTAAACCGGGACTGGTATTAGGAACAGAACTCCGTCATTAAGTGGGGAAACTTAGTCTCCTTTTTTTCTAACTAAAAAAAATTGGTACTATTTTTTAAAATTGTACATTACAGTATTGATGTGTGGTCAAATGTTTTTGGAAAATGCTTCCTTTATTATAAACCCAATTCACATGCAGCTTAAATTTAGCTTGGAGCTTCCGCAAAACGTCCCAATTTAGTATCTTTAATATTCAAGATTAATGAGCTTTAAAAATACAATAAGCATAGAATATTTATTAATTTTACAAAAAAGTTATCTTGATAAAGGCTGAAACAATTTAAAATCAAGGTATGAAAGTTAGGATTCCAAACACAACCCTTTTGACAAAAACACAAATGTTTTTTTACTTTCAATATTAGTGCACAGCGGGTAATACTTTAAAATACAATCCCAGAAACTTGGAAAAGGGGGGGGGCTTAGGGAATTTTAAAGCAGGATATGTATAAGTAAAAAAAAACAGTAATGTAGGGCAAATGACTGGCAATAGGGTTTTAAGTTTTTCATTGCCATGGCCAGGTAGACACGGGGCAAACTTTATGAAACATAAAAAAAAGATATCCAGAGCAACCTACCCAATAAAAACACTTTCCCCTTTCTATTGCCCAACTTAACATGGTTTTTAAGACAAATACCTTTTTTTACTTGGGGAAAATGTTTTAAAGGGTGAAAGTTGAAAAGTGAACAAGAAAAGGTAAGTTGATGGGGTATCAAATGATTTAGATAAAAAAAAATTGGATACAATTGGGGAGGGGGAGTAGGAAGAAGTGAATTTTTTCAGTATTTGGGAGTTGATTGTCGGGGGAGGGATTTATGAAGGATGATTTAATCATAAATTTGAGAGGGAAAAAAGGTGATGGTGCGTTGAGGTTATTGGAGAAAAAACGTTTCTAGGGAGGAAAAAGGGGGAATTTTTGAAAGTATAGTGGTCCCAACACTTTATGGGAGGGAAAGTTGGGTGGAAAATGCAGCAGCAGGAGGAGGGTTGGGGCTGGAGATGCCCCGTCAAAGGGCAATGTGTGGGGTAAATTTTATCAAGGGCAAAAAGGGGGGTTGTTGAGGTATTTGGCATTTAGAGAAAAGGGGATCAAAGTAGAATGACGGAAAGCATAAAATCATGGGAAGGAGGGAGGGGGGGGGGTCATCCTAAAAAAGGTTGGAAGGGGGTAAAGGGGGTTTTTTGGGCAGGACTTGGACTTCCAGAAAGCAGCGGGGGGTTTTTAGATGAGTGAAGGGAGCAATTTAATTGGGCCCTGCATCTCTTGGAGGTGCGGGGTAATTTTAGTAAAGGGGATTCAGGGAAACCGGTTTTTTTCTTTAAAGGGGACTTGAGTCCGGGAAAGGGAAGTAAAATGCCTCCTTTAAAGGGGGGTTTGGGTATTGGCATTTTGGAGGGATATTTGGTTCTTTATACGTAAAAAGCTTCAAACTGTTTTTTCTAGCACCCCGCAAAAACGTGAAATGTGTGAGTGAGGTAAGTGTTAAATGTGATGAAAGCATTTTTTTTTGGGGATTTTTTTTTGGGTCACCCCCCTCGGTGGGACGGCCCCCATTTTAAAAAAAAAAAAAAATTTTTTGTGTTGCTAGGATTGAAATAATTTCAGAAATAAATAAAATTTTTTTTTTGACAAAAATTTAAAAAAAAATTTCCTTTTGCTTTGATTAACCTTTCAGGTCCGTCCCGTGATCTAGGGGCTTTACTTCGGGGGCCCAAACCCGTAGATCTCCCCCATGACTCAGCTCAGTCGATAAACTGTGGTGGTACTTTTGGGGCCCTAGAATGAAATACATCAAGTGGATGTGGCACCACATAAAAAGATCGCAGCACACGTGAAATGAGAGAAAAAAATGAAATCATATTTCGATTAAAACAGCAATTTTGCAGTGTTTTTTTCGTATTTTTTTATAGTTGTATTTGCGATTTTTGGTCTATTTGATAGAATGGAAACATATTCCAAAATAGAGAGATTTTGATTGGTTTTAGCAGGGGGAAAGGGCTTGAAACGAGTCAAAGTAGCAGAAATTTTAAAATTTTTTTCGATATTCAAGAGTAAAAAAACGACCTCACACGTTAATACCGCAGCTGGTGGGTCAATTTTAAACATTCACAAAAATGGGAGATATTTATAAAATTTTTACAGTTTGCATAACATAAAATCTTCTATTTTTGTGTGAAAAAAATTCATTTGGAAAAAAAAATCAAAAGGGAATTTATTTGTAAAAGCCTCAAAACATAACAATAACAAGAAAGTTATTTATGCCAGGAATGCCTACATTGTTCATTCTGGCCCCTATTTTGAAATGGAATATTTTGGAACTTTGTGTTAAATTGGCCAAATTAAAAAATTTCCCGATCACTTTATTTTGTTTGAAACGTTACTTGGCGATTTTGTCTAAATCGATGAATTTAAAAAGTAAAACTATGAAAAGCTAAAATTTTTGGTTGATTGGAATAATGTAATTGGCCTAAAAGGGGAGTCAAAGTCCAAAACCCCGATTCTAAATATCGCTGACACAAAAATTCGCAGAGAAAAATTTCTCAATTTTCCCCCAAATTTCGAAATTTTTGTTTTATTACCTTCACAAAAAGATTCTCTATGATTTCAAAAAAAAAAATAACAAATTTTTTTTTTAAAAAATTTTGGACACGGTGCTTGACCCCAAATTTTGGGCCCTTGGACCCGAAGGGTTAAAACAAACAGGGGAAACCTCGTTTTTGGGCTGCTGTGTTTTCACTGATTTGTATTTAAAGCCATTTTTCCCCGGGGGAAATTTTGCCCGATTTGGCTTTGCCTCATATTCACCCGTTTTAGACGCGTCCCCCCGGAAACCCATGCATAGGGAGTCAGCCCCCTTTGTCTTTTGGGCGAGTGAGCGGTACCCCCGCATGTTTCCCCAAAACATTTCCTTTAAAAATCCATTGTTTTGTGGTTTTTTTTAAAGTGCGACTATAAAAATAATCCCTATGGGAAAAAAATGTTTTTTTTGGAAAAAAAAACAAATAAGGAACTTCCTTTTTTAAAGGACGGAAAAATCCAGTTGAGGGTGTAATTTTGCGGCGGAAAAAGTTGGCAGGGGCAGCAGGCGGCAGGCAGGCGGGGAGTGTAGCGGGCTAGAAAGAGTAGCAGGGAAAACCAGGGATGGGAAAGGGGGCAGGAGTGTACAGGCAGGCAGGGAGTAAGCATGTGGAGGGGGGGCAGCAGGCATGCAGGGAGTGTACATGGAGGGAGGAGTGTAGCGGGGACAGGAAATTTTTACAGGGAAACGGGAGTGGGGAAGGGAGGCAGGGAATGAGCAGGCATGCGGGGTGTAGCAGGCAGGCGGGAAGTAACCCCAGAGAGGGCTTTGATACCTGAAGTTCTTATAAGGGGGATTCCCTTCCAAACAAAAAATAGTCCCCCTCTCCCCAAAACCCAACGATCTTCAAAAGGTATGTGATAGGTTTTTAAGTGTTTTTTTTGTTTTTATTTATTTATTCTCTTTGTTTTTGTAGTAAAATATAATTAATCTTAAAAAATGTATTTTTTGTGAATTTTTTTGGGGTGCCCCGGAAGGATTAATTTTTTTTTTTTTTTTTTTTTTTTCAACAAGTCGGTGTCTCCCACCGAGGCAGGGTGACCCAAAAAAAAAGGGAAAACCCAAAAAGAAAATACTTTTTTTAGAATCTCCCAAAGCACAGTATCTCAGAAAAAAGAAAACTGTGTAAATTTCCCCCATTTTTGAATTTGTTCCCCCCAAAATTTAATCCCCCCCCTCCCCCGAACACCCTAGCATTTACTTTTTTTAAAAAACCCATTATAAAATTTTAAACAACCATGGTACATTACCATCCCTGTCTAAGACCTATTTTTACGGAATTTTCTCCCTTTTTTCTACACCCCAAACCCTGAGCCCCTACCTCATAAAAGTTTTTTTACAGCTTTTAGTAACTTACCACCTATTCCAAAAATTTTGCAACATCGCCACATTGCCCTCTATCCATCTATCATATGCCTTTTCTAAACCCCATAAATGCAATAAAAATTTCCCCTACTTTATCAAAATACTGTTCACATTTCCAATGTAAAACATTGAACAAACCCCTACCCACTCTGACCCCCCTTGCTAATCCCAACTACATTTTTTACCTCAATTCTTTCAATTATAACCCTACCGTATATTTTTCCCCGGGTTATCAGTAAATTATTCCCCTAAAATTTTTAAAATTTTCCTTTTGTCCCCCTTTTCCCTTTTTAAATAAAGGGACTATACATGCTCTCCCCCAATCCCAGGTCCCTTTCCCCTCTTCATACATTTATTAAAAAAGTAAAAACCACTCCAAACTATATCCCCCCCTGTTTTTAAACATTTCGTCTGACCCCATCGTTCCAGCTGCTTTCCCCCTTTTTTACGAAAGCCTCACGTACCTCCACCACACTTACTTCTGCTTTTTCTTCACCCAAAAAAGGATACCCCCCTGCCTGCATGAAATTACCGCCCCCCTTTCTCCTCACATTTAAAAGTCTAAAAATTCTCGCCCTCTACCTAAAACCTCCCTCTCCCTCTCTAAACCCCCCACTCTTTTTTTTAACGAAAATCCATCTTTTCCCCCGGGTTTTCTTAATTTTTTAACTCACTC